AATTGAAAATAAAAACAGATTTACCCAGAGAGTAAATGCAGTTCTGTAAGGCAATATGGTGGCTCGTCATTTTAACCTTTGCTTGTGTGTTGTATGCACAAATAAATGCAGCTGCCAAGTGCCCTTTTTTGCTGGGTGTTCGACGTGGATTTTCTACATGACTTTTAATTAATCCACGACTGGTTCTTAATTAGCCTGGATCAGTGCAAGTCTCATGTATAATAAATGGATCAATTAACGTATATAATTCACACCTTTGGCTAATAACTGTTAGAACTGATCGTGGCGTCCTAATGCGAAATGTGTGAGGTAAAAATGGTGTCAGTGCGTTGTAGCATGTACTTGTGTATCACTGGTTCAATCACTTCCGACTTTACTTTCTTTATTCATTGATAGGTTACTTATTACAAGTTTCGGAAAATATTGTCTGTCCGTTTGTCCGTCTGCTCGAGAACAGTGGTCATGTTTGTCATGAAAACTACAAAACCACACAAACAATCTCTGTGCTACATTCCACGCATCTTATATATATATATCTATGTGTATTATACGTACAGGGGCAAGATTGACAATATAAATATTCACCATTGGTACATCATTTGCCAGTAAAAAATATGATATTTTTTTTTACCCGTTTTTCTGGCAACAAAACTGACACTTTTTTACGAGGAGTCATGTTTGCATAGACCACAATACCTGCAGTCATAATGCAAACAAAAAACACAACTCTGATAATGTGTGCACTGTCCTTGAAGATGATTGGTCCACATCCGTGACAGCTTTCCTTAGAGCCTAGTCTCACATGGGTTGGACCAGGTGTCAGTTTTGTTGCCAGATAAAAGGGTAAAAAACAATTATGATATAAATATTGTTTCTATTAAAATGTATGATTAAAATAAAGTTGTCCCGTTGTGTACCAGCGAGCTTACGTGCATTAGATCGCGAGCACCGAGTGAAACTCCGTGCACCCACCAAGTGCGTCTCTACCCAGTAGACATGCCAACGTTACCTCAACGTTGGCATGTCTACTGCGTCGTTGGTGGTGGGGTTTTTTTGCTCGTCTCCACGTGCACATGTGTTATGTTGCATGACCAACTTCCTCGGGAAAAAACAAACCTGGACGCTCCTTCAATGAACTTCCTTTACAAATAGTAACAAACAAAAAAACAGTCAGCACCTGACCTTCGTGTGAATTAGCTCAAAAAGGAAGAATCACACCTGTGGTGTGCGGCTCTCAATCTGTGACACCGGGAGCTGCTTAGCACAATCGCACAACACGATATGCACATACTCTTTGGTTCTTTCGGTAAAGTCACGTAGGTAAAAAAAAAGAATCATCACGACGTTTCGGGCGCAACACAAGCGTCCGTCATCAGGTGGGACAACCGTAGCAAGAAACAATTGCTGAAGTGGGCAAAAGAGCTGCTGTAACAAGAGGCCTATATAGGTAAGAGGGGGGGGGGAGCCAGGGAGGAGAGATAAAGAGGGTGGGGGTGTGGGGTAGGAGGAGTGGAGTGCTGCAAGCTAAGACAATGCGGATGGCGGATTACGGGAGATGGTTTTGGGGGTGTTGGGGAGGGCGGTCGGTCCAGGAGTGGCAGTGCGGTTGGTACATTCATAAATGCTGTTTGGGCGGATTCAACGAGAAATGGAATGACCCAATGCACATTTAATCCACTAGTCTAAGTAATTTTGCAGCTGCCAAGCGATTATTTACTCCCGAACGCATTGCTGATGCAGGGTGGTATTCACTCTGGCCACTAATCAGCTAAATGCCCTGCTGCATGGTTTAGCATGCAAGCAAATATTGGGAAGTTGCGTTTTTCAGTAAAGCGTTTTTTGTGATGTATTTTGGCAGAGGCGTTGCTATTTAATTTTACTTGTAGGCACTGCTTCCCTTCCACCAAAAGCTAGTCATGCACATGCACTCCGTGGCGTATTCGTGCTGTGTCATTTAGTCGTGGCATCAAAAATTGAAGCGTTCCTCGAAAAATTGAAAGCGATTAAGACATTAAGTTGTCAGCACTATATCAATCAGGCCGTGTTGCAATTTTGTAGCATTGACTGGAATGACTGGAACATTTCAGTGTTTGTGCAAAATACAGATGGCTCAACAGATATGCGAGTGTGATTGATGTCTAAGGTAAAGCCTGGCTGCATTTTCCGTTGACATCAAATACGATTTCAGCAGTTGACTTATCCAAAGTATGTAAAATAAAAATCAGCTCATTATATCACCCATTATAATGAAACACGTTCTCAATCACTGAGTTACTCACATTAGTTTTTTTTTTCTTCCAGAAGGTGTTATATAAGTACTCGTCTGATACGCTTAAGAGGCTTTTTATTCTAGATTTTTTTTGTCCATTTCATTTTCTTTCCCAAATGGCACAGTTGATTTCGATCAAATTCTCATCCACAAAGCAAAAACAAGACCCCGATTAAATACCATGCCGACACGTTAATCGGGAGTGACAGGATTGCAAATTAATTTACAAAAAGCGTTCGCTAATTGCATCGCCACGAACAAAACCCCAAACGTCACGTGTCAAGGCAGCCTTGCACCCCCCACTCATGGATGCCGCTCTGAGTTCATGGCCGACAGTGGCGAGATGCTAACTACCTCACCTCGTATGCAGGAGGTCTTGTGCTCGATCCTAAACCTGACGCCTGTATATTTGGAGTTAGCATGTTCTCCCCGTGGTCGCATGGATTTATCTCCAGACCACGTCGTTGAGCTATCATCTGTGGCCAGGTGACTTCTGAAAAAGAGCTACACAGCTCCGTGGGCCTTACCTAGTGCAATAAAACAGTAGCACTGGAATTGGAAGTTGCGTAAGAGGCACAAGTAAAGTAAAGCAAATCCGCAGTGTCCCCAGCAGCTCAAGGGGTGCCAGATTCATGGGAAAACAATATCTAGGCACTCCGAATATGAGCTCGATTTCGAATAAATATTATAAATCAATTAACATAAAGTTGCTATACGTTTCATCTTTATCATGTCCATACTCTACATATTTATTCTCATTACACCTCTAAATCTTTTCTATATTTCTATGATCTCACTGCACGCCTGTCTTTTGCCTCTGTCTCTTCTGCTAAGGGCCCCAAATGGGCCAGCACCACCGCTGAGCCCAATGAGATGCTTAGGCGACACGCTCAGTGGGTGCTCAGCGATAATTGCTGGTCCACCGAGGACACAGCCACAGTACAAGTCGGGGGGGAGGGGGGAACTTTCACCAGGGAGGACTCCGTACCATTGAGAGGGCCGGTTAAACGTCGACGTGTTCCATATCTGTGGTATGGTACTTGTTTGTTCAACACGTGGTGGGCTTTCGCGAGCAAAATAATTCACAATAGTTTTTTTTGGGGGTTAAATCGCGTGAATATAAATGTGTCGTTTACCCACCACCACCACCTTGACACGGCCTAATCAGTAAGGGTTGTCGCGTAAGCAACACGTGCCAGATATCTTCTTGGTTCTTTCGGTAAAGTCACGTAGAAGGGAAGTAATAAAATAATAAAAATAAAACATAATAATAGTATAATATTATTTTATGATATTAGTTTATGATATTATTTTATTATTTTATTTTATTCTATTATATTATTATGTTTTATTTTTATTATTTTATTATTTCCCTTCTACGTGACTTTACCGAAAGAACCAAGAAGATGAATCCCTGCAGTCACGAAAGCTTTAAATAGAAATTTAATTATTTTATTATGTTTTATTTTTATTCTTTTATTATTTCCCTTCTACGTGACTTTGCCGAAAGAGCCAAGAAGATGAATCCCTGCAGTCACGAAAGCTTGAAATCGAAACGTGCCAGTTAGTTACTACTCCAGCACACACACCAGTGTGTTGCGGAATAAACCCACAGCATTCACAATTCGAGCGCGACGTTTCGCCGGTGATTGCAACCAGCTTCATCAGGCGATTTTCCAGAATTGTGAAGAAGTCTTCCTGTTTCCAGTCCTATTCTGAGTGGACTTGCTTGCTGCTGGGGTGGTGGTGGCATTGACGCGATTTTGCTCCGGCTCTCAACCCCTGTGGGCATGACGGAACGGTAAACATGGACGGTTAAGGCTGTGTGTTGCACCGGCAAACTGTGAAGATAAAACGACCACTGGCGTGAAATATTGTAGCAATATATACGTTTAAGTTTGGTACATTAATTCAGCTTTGGGGGGAGGGTGGGGGGGGGGGGCTTAGCCCGTGCCGACGCTGTGACTCTGCGGGGCTGCCATGTGTGAGCAAAACAGAATGTGCAGATGCGCGCTGTTCCACTTGTCGACACGGATGTGATTGTTTGTTGCGGAAATTACGCGACACACTTAGACAAACGATGCGCATTTTCACTTTAAGCGAATCGACGATAAATGTTCGCCGAACAAACGCAAAGGAAATGTTTAGCGGAATGACTATACCCATTTCACTCCCAATGTGCGTTTTACGCAAATTGAAAAAGAAACAGTTCGAAAGTATACGCGTGGCTCGAAGCATCTGTGCATAATTCTTTGCGCTTTGAAATATAGATCTTCGAAGACTCCTAATCCTGGCCACTGCTTATAAGGAAGCCGTGTTTGTTCAATTGTGTACTGCTGGATTTCTTTACGCGGTATTATACATTTTAATAAACACGGTTTGATAAATAATGCATCGTTGGGTCCTAAATGCAAATCGCAGCACGTGTGTTGCTTAAATATTTAATGCTTTAATGTTATGCAAAGTTTGCAGCGTACAATGCAATCATTTGTCGCGGCTTGCTGTTATTTTTTTGGGGGGGGGGGGCGCAGGTTTCGCAATATGCAAAAAAAAAATGTGCGCACAAGTCAAAACCAATTTACAGAATATTAGCAGAATGCTCGACTTCGTTTTTAACCCAAGAGTAGTCCAGAGATCACAGGCATGGCTCCGTGCGGCCTGTCCTTCGCAACTTAACGCTTCGTAGCTGGGAAATTGCAATCTTTGCTCCACTCATCGGACTGACACGTGTCTCGGAGTAATGGGATCAAATGGAGGCTGAAAAGCAGCGTTCAAAGCGTCGGATATCATCAGGTAATGTTACACTTTCGCTCCAGACACTGTGCAATATCATTCAAATGTTCTGTTTGAGAAATGACTACTCCATGAAAGAATGAGGTTACGGCAAGTGTGTGTGGTGTGTGTACATTGTAGTCGAAGTAATAGTAATTAAATAGCGATTGTAAAAGCATTTATAGAAACACATTGTGTGTTGCCACGTGTTGACGTATCTTTTGTAAATCTAAAATGTTTTAAACCGAATTCAATTAGCAATCGTTGAACGTATATAATATTCACTTGCTCGACGCCTGATCAGTAATTGTTTACCACCGCTGGAATGGTTAAGCGCTAAAAAAGCGTCCTCTGAATTGTACGAGTGCTTCTCGAATTCAAGTGTTGATGTTTGTTTCTCTTTTTGTGTCTCTCTCTCTCTCGTTGCGAGATGGTAGAGAGTGTGGAGAGAGTGAATGTGTCTCTCTCTCGTTGCGAGATGGTAGAGAGTGTGGAGAGAGTGAATGTGTGTCTCTCTCTCGTTGTGAGATGGTAGAGAGTCTGGAGAGAGTGAATGTGTGTCTCTCTCTCGTGAGATGGTAGAGAGTGTGGAGAGAGTGAATGTGTCTCTCTCTCTCGTTGTGAGATGGTAGAGAGTGTGGAGAGAGTGAATGTGTGTCTCTCTCTCTCGTTGTGAGATTGTAGAGAGTGTGTAGAGAGTGAATGTGTGTCTCTCTCTCTCGTTGTGAGATGGTAGAGAGTGTGGAGAGAGTGAATGTGTGTCTCTCTCTCGTTGTGAGATGGTAGAGAGTGTGCAGAGAGTGAATGTCTCTCTCTCTCGTTGTGAGATGGTAGAGAGTGTGGAGAGAGTGAATGTGTGTCTCTCTCTCGTTGTGAGATGGTAGAGAGTGTGGAGAGAGTGAATGTGTGTCTCTCTCTCTCGTTGTGAGATGGTAGAGAGTGTGGAGAGAGTGAATGTGTGTCTCTCTCTCGTTGTGAGATGGTAGAGAGTGTGGAGAGAGTGAATGTGTGTCTCTCTCTCTCGTTGTGAGATGGTAGAGAATGTGTAGAGAGTGAATGTGTGTCTCTCTCTCTCTCTCGTTGTGAGATGGTAGAGAGTGTGTAGAGAGTGAATGTGTGTCTCTCTCTCTCGTTGTGAGATGGTAGAGAGTGTGGAGAGAGTGAATGTGTCTCTCTCTCTCGTTGTGAGATGGTAGAGAGTGTGGAGAGAGTGAATGTGTGTCTCTCTCTCTCGTTGTGAGATGGTAGAGAGTGTGGAGAGAGTGAATGTCTCTCTCTCTCTCTCGTTGTGAGATGGTAGAGAGTGTGGAGAGAGTGAATGTGTGTCTCTCTCTCGTTGTGAGATGGTAGAGAGTGTGGAGAGAGTGAATGTGTGTCTCTCTCTCGTTGTGAGATGGTAGAGAGTGTGGAGAGAGTGAATGTGTGTCTCTCTCGTTGTGAGATGGTAGAGAGTGTGGAGAGAGTGAATGTGTGTCTCTCTCTCTCGTTGTGAGATGGTAGAGAGTGTGGAGAGAGTGAATGTCTCTCTCTCTCTCGTTGTGAGATGGTAGAGAGTGTGGAGAGAGTGAATGTGTGTCTCTCTCTCGTTGTGAGATGGTAGAGAGTGTGGAGAGAGTGAAAGTTGTTTTTCTCTCTCGTTGTGAGATGGTAGAGAGTGTGGAGAGAGTGAATGTGTCTCTCTCGTTGTGAGATGGTAGAGAGTGTGGAGAGAGTGAATGTGTGTCTCTCTCTCGTTGTGAGATGGTAGAGAGTGTGGAGAGAGTGAATGTGTGTCTCTCGTTGTGAGATGGTAGAGAGTGTGGAGAGAGTGAATGTGTCTCTCTCGTTGTGAGATGGTAGAGAGTGTGGAGAGAGTGAATGTGTGTCTCTCTCTCGTTGTGAGATGATAGAGAGTGTGGAGAGAGTGAATGTGTCTCTCTCTCTCGTTGTGAGATGGTAGAGAGTGTGTAGAGAGTGAATGTGTGTCTCTCTCTCTCTCGTTGTGAGATGGTAGAGAGTGTGGAGAGAGTGAATGTGTCTCTCTCGTTGTGAGATGGTAGAGAGTGTGGAGAGAGTGAATGTGTGTCTCTCTCTCGTTGTGAGATGGTAGAGAGTGTGGAGAGAGTGAATGTGTGTCTCTCGTTGTGAGATGGTAGAGAGTGTGGAGAGAGTGAATGTGTCTCTCTCGTTGTGAGATGGTAGAGAGTGTGGAGAGAGTGAATGTGTCTCTCTCTCTCGTTGTGAGATGGTAGAGAGTGTGGAGAGAGTGAATGTGTCTTTCTCTCTCGTTGTGAGATGGTAGAGAGTGTGGAGAGAGTGAATGTGTCTCTCTCTCTCGTTGTGAGATGGTAGAGAGTGTGGAGAGAGTGAATGTGTGTCTCTCTCTCGTTGTGAGATGGTAGAGAGTGTGGAGAGAGTGAATGTGTGTCTCTCGTTGTGAGATGGTAGAGAGTGTGGAGAGAGTGAATGTCTCTCTCTCTCTCGTTGTGAGATGGTAGAGAGTGTGTAGAGAGTGAATGTGTGTCTCTCTCGTTGTGAGATGGTAGAGAGTGTGGAGAGAGTGAATGTGTGTCTCTCTCTCTCTCGTTGTGAGATGGTAGAGAGTGTGGAGAGAGTGAATGTGTGTCTCTCTCTCTCTCCTTGTGAGATGGTAGAGAGTGTGGAGAGAGTGAATGTCTCTCTCTCGTTGTGAGATGGTAGAGAGTGTGGAGAGAGTGAATGTGTGTCTCTCTCTCTCATTGTGAGATGGTAGAGAGTGTGGAGAGAGTGAATGTGTCTCTCTCTCTCTCGTTGCGAGATGGTAGAGAGTGTGGAGAGAGTGAATGTGTGTCTCTCTCTCGTTGTGAGATGGTAGAGAGTGTGTAGAGAGTGAATGTCTTTCTCTCTCGTTGTGAGATGGTAGAGAGTGTGGAGAGAGTGAATGTCTCTCTCTCTCTCTCGTTGTGAGATGGTAGAGAGTGTGGAGAGAGTGAATGTGTGTCTCTCTCTCTCTCGTTGTGAGATGGTAGAGAGTGTGGAGAGAGTGAATGTGTGTCTCTCTCTCTCGTTGTGAGATGGTAGAGAGTGTGGAGAGAGTGAATGTGTGTCTCTCTCTCGTGAGATGGTAGAGAGTGTGGAGAGAGTGAATGTGTGTCTCTCTCTCTCGTTGTGAGATGGTAGAGAATGTGTAGAGAGTGAATGTGTGTCTCTCTCTCGTTGTGAGATGGTAGAGAGTCTGTAGAGAGTGAATGTGTCTCTCTATCTCGTTGCGAGATGGTAGAGAGTCTGGAGAGAGTGAATGTGTCTCTCTGTCTCGTTGTGAGATGGTAGAGAGTGTGGAGAGAGTGAATGTGTGTCTCTCTCTCGTTGTGAGATGGTAGAGAGTGTGGAGAGAGTGAATGTGTGTCTCTCTCGTTGTGAGATGGTAGAGAGTGTGGAGAGAGTGAATGTGTGTCTCTCTCTCTCGTTGTGAGATGGTAGAGAATGTGTAGAGAGTGAATGTGTGTGTCTCTCTCTCTCGTTGTGAGATGGTAGAGAGTGTGGAGAGAGTGAATGTGTGTCTCTCTCTTTCGTTGTGAGATGGTAGAGAGTGTGGAGAGAGTGAATGTCTCTCTCTCGTTGCGAGATGGTAGAGAGTGTGGAGAGAGTGAATGTGTGTCTCTCTCTCTCGTTGTGAGATGGTAGAGAGTCTAGAGAGAGTGAATGTGTCTTTCTCTCGTTGTGAGATGGTAGAGAGTCTGGAGAGAGTGAATGTGTAATTCAAGGCACAGCCGTCTTCGTACCATTCTCGCTATAAATACAAACTCGGCGTGTCTATGAGGAGGAGGGGGGGGGGGGCGCGGGGCCCCCAGCCCGGCACCGAAACACACCCAAGGCCCGGCCCCCCCTCCCCCACGCCCCCCCCTGGGAAGCGCTACTTCCTCCTTTCACCATCTGTCTTACGCAGCATCTGGGTGCCCATGACGTGCATGGCAAACGCAGAGGGGTGGAGGCAAGGGGGGGGGGGGGCTGGGGATGGAACGAGGGAAAGGCAGTGGGTGACAGCCGCGGAGAGAGGAAGCGGGAGAGAGATCGAGGAGGTGAAGGTGCAGGAGATGGGGGGAGGGGGGTAGAGGAAAGGAGATAGTGGTGGGTTGGGTGAAGGAGAGAGGATGGGAAGAGAGCGGGAGGGCAGTGGAGGGCTCAGGAAAGGGGAGATGGAGAAAAGAGGGGGGCGGCGTACAGAACGAGAGAGTGAGAGAGAGAATGAGCGACAGAACGAGTGAGAGAGAGAGAGAGCAAGCGAGGGTTACATAAAGCCCAGTTAAAAAAAATAAATTACGTAATGATAAACGAAACAAAGTGCCGAATACACCGAGCATATTCTTGTTTCCACTGATCGTAAAACAAGGAGAAGGGAGAGAGGTTGCAGAGAGAATCGGAGGTCAGCAGAGAGATAGAGAGAGAGAGTGAAAGAGGGTGTATGAGGTGGTAAGAAATGTGAGTCGTGGTAATAAACGAATACGTTGGAGGACAGAGGGCTGAGATGGAGGGAGACCTAGAAGGTGACGGAGAAAATAAGAGAGCATTCGTGAAGTCTTCTTCTTGGTTCTTTCGGTAAAGTCACGTAGAAGGGAAGTAATAAAATAATAAAAATAAAACATAATAAAATAATTCTCACGACGTTTCGGCCACAACGCAAGCAGCCGTCCTCAGGTGAAGACCAGGTCTGTTGGTCTTCCTCAGACCAGGTCTGTCGGTCTTCACCTGAGGATGGCTGCTTGCGTTGTGGCCGAAACGTCGCGAGAATTATTATTTTTTATTTGTATTATTTTATTATGTTTTATTTGTATTATTTTATTACTTCCCTTCTACGTGACTTTACCGAAAGAACCAAGAAGATGAATCCCTGCAGTCACGAAAGCTTTAAATCATTCGTGAAGTGATACAGGTTTTATAAAGATGTGAGAAGAACGAGAGGAGAGGTGGGTAAACTGAGACGGAGAGATAGTGACTGCATGGTGGAGGGTTAAAAGGAAATTGCAGTGAGAGAGAGAAATTGGGAGACGGAGTTTAGGTTGGGA